GGAGCATCCATGCAGCCAGGAAGCGAAATGGCTTCACTCCACTCGGCGGTATGCGTTGTCGGCCAAATTCAAGAAGAAGAGGCGAATGGTCAGAGAGTATCCTTGGGAGGAGACGAACTCGGCTCTCAAACTCCTACCACAAATCTATCCAACTTCTCAGCCACCCGGCCCTAGTGGGTCTCGCGCAACCATGTGAAAGCATACCCGTCAGTGGCAACCTCTTGAAGGTTGTAGTTTAAAATCCAGTCAGCAAAATCCCAACTAATGTTACAAAATCTCGCCGAGCCTCCTATTTTCTCTGATAAGCGAAGAAGGAAGTTAATATCCCCCCCAATGACCCAGGGATCAGAGATACAGTCTGCAATGCGAGATAATGCATTCCATAAGGTCCGTTGGTTCGTCGAATTTGGGCTAGCATAAATGAAAGTGACAAGACTCACCACCCCCGTGGAGCATATCCGGACATGGACATATTGGCGGGAATACTCAAGGATGTCAAGTTGAACCTCATATGTCCAGAGGAGCCAAATACCCCCTGAAAAGCCTTGCGCTTCCACACGGAAAGAGTTATCAAATCTACTATTTCGCACGAACTTATCAGCTTGCAAACCACCAATTCGAGGTTCTAAGACGGCAAAGATATCTGGTCTGTACTGTTGAATAAGGGTAGAGAAAACTCCCCGAAACTCGGGCGAGCCTGCACCCTGAACATTTCAAGTAAATAACTTCATGGGGAAACAAGTGAGGGTTAAACGATCGACCCTGAATCCTACTGCACGAAGGACGAGTCATGATCCTTCGTCGTCGCGTCCATGCTCGTATGTTCAACCATGCATTCTGCCTCGGTCTGACATATAGGGCTCTCCTCTAGCCACGGCTCAAGGTTCCTTCCATGTAGTTCATCCTCGTGCATCCTACAGTCCTCAAAGGGGGGTGGCACATGGTCTTCCACTATTGTAATTGTTTTATGTTTCGTTGGGTTCAGGCCTGCGCCAATGGGTACTATTCCGCCACTTGTAGAACCAGAAGCTCGACCTTCTTGCATCTTCTCGCTCAGCCTTGGCTCACTCAGTGTGGATGGCCTAATATTGCTCACGAATTTATCCTTCCTCAAAATGGTCGTGCTCGCTTCAGTACTGGGAGACATGTCACGCTCCGTGTGTACAAACTCAGACCTGGTAGCCACAGTTGGATTACTGTTGGCCTTTCGACGATCGGATATTGTACGCCATTCCTTTCCCCCTTTATAAGCGGCTGGGGTCTGAACGGCAAAGTTATCACTCAACACGAACTTAGGATTATGGTCCGCCGACCCATCGTTCTCCAGAATGTCGAATCTAGATCCTGCCATCCCGCTTGGGTTTCGATCATTGTGGTTAGTGTCCAGTCCCAGTTCACGACGATTGTAGGGACGTCGGGCTCGTTGAGGCACTTGGATCCATGGGCCAAACACAGATTCCTTGTCGTCGCTCTCTTTAGTTGCATTGGTACTAGTGTCTTTCTTTGTGTTCCTGCCCGTGGTTGGTAGTTGTGTCCCCTTGACCGCCTTCCGGGACCGGGTTCATCGTTTTGTAGACGCACCCATGGCTCGTATGGCCTATTCTTCCACAATGGAAACAAATGGTAGGTAGGCTCTCATAGACTACTTTTTGATTTCGACCATTAATGGAGAAGTTAACACACAGCGTCTTAGTGAGGTCGACCATGACAGCCAAACGTGCGTACTTTCCACGTGTGAGTGCGGCAGTTTGATGATCAATCTTAACCACCTTTCCTACAATCTGACTAATTGTTCGAAAGATCTTCCTATGGCAAAGGTGGGCCGGTAGGCCCGACAGCCTAATCCAAGCCACTGTCGACATGAGTTCCTCATTCAGTGCATTAAAATCGAGGGACCATGGCTGAACGTGCATGTAGCTTGTGCCCACTACATAGGGGCCTCCCGTAAGAACCTGAACCGCATCCTCAATAGTCCGATAATGAACTAGATAGAAGCCATTTTCGAGATCCATCATGTTACACCCCGCCATGGCGGGCCACATCTTAGTAAGGCGATTATAGAGGGACGCCATAGTCAAGGCTTCTTCGAATGGTTTAATAACCACTACATTCCTCCATTCAAGATTGATTTGATCGATGAATTGTTGGGATATTTTCACTTCCGGGTAGGGCTAGAGAGGTCCACGGCGACATCTTTCTCACCATCCTCATCTTGTCCGTCGTCGTCGGATTCCACGTCAACGTGGTGCCGGTGCTTGTTCACCATGTCACGGAAAGTCCATTTAAGTGGCACTTGGGGCCCCTCACTCAGTTTCGGTATGTGTGGGAAAACTTAACTACCAGAAATCGGATGGGGCGGCCGTAGGGTTTCCAAGGGCTCTATTGGTTCGCCTAACCTCTTGAGGGTTTTGGGTCGTTTGGTCGCCTGGATAGCGGTTCGATCCAGTGGTGGGTAGTCTGAGGAGAAGGACTGTTGTAGTGTGGCATCGCCTGGGTCGAAAGTGGCCCGGCCGGCGGTCTGAGATTGACGGAGGGAAGAGTCGGAAATCGCTTGCATATTGGTTTATCCTTTATTTGGATCCGAGCTGATAGTTCATATTAAATGCATTGTACTGGATGCATTATACTGGATGCATATTTACTCCATACATAATGCATAATAGGGGTCAACGGGTCAACGTCGGAAGTCAATGGTCAACGCCGGAGTCAATTAATAATTATTTTATTATTTAATTAATATATATTTTAATTGATTTTGATCTAGACAAAAGGAGTGGCTAAGATTTTAAGGAGTGCACTCATTTTAAGGAGTTGACTCATTGGATCCACCCCCTATATATATAAAAATATACACACACACACACACACACACATGTATGAGATTAAACTTAAGTATTTTTTGGCATGTTTTCCGTAGTTTAGAAAGTGGCTTCAAATATTTTTCAAGAATAATATAGATTATTGTATATACATTTTATATATGTGATATAATATTTTAGAGGTCTTTAGTATATTTATCACATATTTCTCTCCCAAACTACATACAATAAAAAGTTATAAGAAGAAATGTATAATTAAATATTGTCTTCAATTTTTATTTGATTATTAGTTATATATATTGGTTACAGTTTACATTAATTTCTGAGCTGTATTTGTAAACTTAATAAATCTGCATAAAGCGTGGAATTATTATGTGTACAAAATTTCTTTTTAACGGTAACAAACTTATAAGAAAAATAATAATTTTGAAATATTATGTACTCAAATTTTGAGAAGTACCGTCATTATTTGGGATCATGTCAATATTTATTTTATATATACTAGGTAAATTTTTTATCAGAAAATTTATAATGTCTTTATTTAGGCTTATAAAATTTTAGATACTTTAATATAATATTTTATCATGTCATATTATAACTATATATACATATGCGCACACACACACACACACACACACACACACACACACACACATATATATATATATATATATATATTAAGTTTGAATATTTTTAGACATATTTTTTTTTTCCAAAATAGTTTAGGAAAATTGTAAGTGTCTTCAAATCTATAAATATATAAGAAGACAACTTGTTTACAAAAAAAATATTAACATAAAAATCAACCAACATTTAACGCATTCCAATTTCAGCAGTTTTTTAATTTTCTTTTAATCTTAACCCAAAAAATCGGTCATCCATAAATGCACCCTAAATTGATGGGTTTTGTTGATGTATTTTTTGAAAATTTCAGATATCAGAATTCATTCTCATTTAAATAGAAATCAAAATCCTTTCTCATTTTTTATTAAAAAAATCTAATTGTAAATAATTAGGTCTCATTTCGAATATAAAATTTTAATTTTAAAATTCCTTATCATGCTAAATAATTTAATTGATTTATTTAAGCATGTCTAGAATCATAATATATGTAACCTTCACTGCCAGCTTTATGCATGTTTCACGCGCTATAAATCTTAAGTGTTTGAAAATTTTAATTTGTGGTGGTAGACAATTTAACAACAGGACAAACAAATAATGTTGTATACAAGAATGCGTTTATTAATATATAAGTTACATTTTGTTTTATTCTAATATATGCATTTTACATTTTTTCATTCATCCAATCTAAATGTTTACCATAATAAAATTAGCACGTGCATCGCACGGGTACTACACTAGTTTATATTAACAAGACGAATAAATAGTCCTAACACTAGTATTTATAATTTTAATATTTTTGTTTACTTATTTTCTTAGCTCCAATCCCAATTCTAATTTGTTTAATAATTTGTTTCAAAGTAAACTAATGACTATGTTTGTTGTTTAGTTATTTTATTTATCCATGATTTATGATTTGGAATATGTTAAAACATTTGTGTAAGTTAAAACCTGTAAATAAAAAAAAAATAAAAAAATGAGTATAATATAATATGATGATAGTACGTAAGTACTTAAAAAATGTCAAGAAATGTTAATAGTGTAAATGATAATAAATTTTATTGAGAGAATTTGATAAGGGCATTTATACAAATATTTTCCCTTAAAATAAATTTTTTTGTTAACTAGTGTTACTTTTGAAAAAAAAATATTATAGTTAATTTTTAGTGAAATTTTGATTTTATATTAAAATAATATTTAAAATAAAATAATTTAAAGTTAATTTGATGTAAAAATAAAAGAGAGATGATATGAAATGATAGTTAGTTAAAACTATGTGAGTAAATTCATAGTAAAGAAACTTGGCTTGAGCATGATATTACTGGGGTGTCGATTTCCCGTCGAGTCCGAGCCTAGGCCTTTGGCTCCTTACTTTTCAATATATAATATTTCATCATAAAATTACATAAATATATTGAAAAATCATGTTAGATTGGGTAAATATTACTAAACTATATTTAATTTGGGAATGAGTTGTATTTCTTCAACCTCTTCACTATCCAGACAGACATTTTCTCACTCGCAGGTGCCGTTTCATCCTCTTCTCTCTCTCTCTCTCTAATGACGGCCGGTTGCGTCTCCTCACAGAAGATGTCCGCTGCCATTGACCCGGCGGCGCAGGTTTTATCCGATCTCTGTTCAATTAGCATTATTTTCCGTTTTTTTTTTTCTGTAATTGAGTGTTATTTTTTTTTTATTTTGATTTTTTTTGGGGAGGAAGGATGGTAATCTATGTGGTTTCTGATGTTTATGGATGTTGATAGAGTTCCGAGAACTGAACATGCATTTGTTTTTGTATATAGATGTAATTGCCGTTTTGTGAATGTAAACTCATGGGTTGGTGACTTGGTGGCGAAAGATTACGGCCAAAACTGTGATTTTAGTGCTTGGCGAATGGAATTTAAGAATCAACCCAAATGACGTTTTGCTGTGTTTTTTGCTGTGTTCTTTTCTTATTCTTTGTTCTTTTCCTTTGTTTTTGTGTATTCATTATGTTTACTGGTGGTGAGATGATGCTTTTGCATGTTTAAGTTTTCGGGCAATACCATTTGGAAATTCAAGATTGCTATTTCCTGTTTGTTTTTGCAAATGGAATAATTAACACCTTCTCAAGCTAGCAATTCCGATGTGCGGCATGGTGGTGTTCGTATTAGGGTATAAATACAAAAAAAAGACATACGCGATTTGGCTTAGTTACCAAAAAAAGAGAAGTTCAGGTTATCTTTTGAAATTACTCCTCAACAATGTTCGATATGTAAAATACAAACACGTGTCAAAGGCTATTTCGTATATCAAATGCTAACCAAATTCTTTAGTAATAGAACAAACCTCATGTTTAGTATTTGCAACTTGGAGGCAAATTTAGATACAGGCTTTTTGATCTACTTGATTGATTACGAATTGCTTACTACTGTAGGTGGAAATTATCCGGTAATGCTCGCCTTTTGAAACATGTTTTTTCAGGAACTTCAGGATGATCTACGTGAAATTGGTCAAAGAATTAATCACCATGAGGACAACATTAAATACTTTAAGGGCTTGGAAAACAAATTGGAGGAATCTATTGTCAGTATGAAAGGTATCTGCATTACTGAATATCCGATGTTTGCATTTGAAGAAATGTATGCATATATATGGAATTTTTCATTTCATAGTTGGTTAATTAAAAAAACCACCTCTGAGGTTTTGCCTAATTAAAGAAGAACCAAGTCATGTTTTCTGATACTTGGGGTTAATTTTGTAGTGATCCCTTTCATGCTTGCTGCTATGTGTGATCATTTGATCCTTTGTTCCTTTTTGTGTTTATCCAACTGGCCAATATCCTTTTTTTAAATACCTGGCTTTAATTTATATTGGTTTTTATTATATTTTTTCTTATAGCTGCTCTCGAAGAGTATGATAAAGCAAGTGTGTCAGCAACAGTCAATGCGGATGTTATGAGCGAACAAGGAACAATTGGAGAAATTCTTAAGAATGACAAATCTGCGGCAGCTCTTTTGTGTTTGATGAAAAATCAAGCAAAAGCCCTAGCATTCGAGCATTCACTTACAAAGGATGTCCTGGGCATTGTGGCTACACTTGGAAAAGTTGATGATGCCAATCTTAGCAGGCTGGTCCTCCTTTTTTACCCTTCTCTTAATTTTTTATGACAAGAAATAGGTCAATTCTTATAAATCTCAAGGGCAGCTTTTGCAATAATAAAAAAGCTCGCTTATTTTAATGTTTTTTATTTTTCTTTTCCATGTGTGCGGGGGGATCCTTTTTCTACCTTGGAATTGGATACTTATTCACTAGGTTACAGCACGTCTGGTTTATCGTAATTTATAAATTGCGTAATTGATTAAAATATTACGTCTGCATGAACAAATGAGTGAAAAGCACTATTATCTTTGAATTTCATGGTTGGCCCATTTTCTTGTGTAATTTGTGGTAGACTTCTTGCCGAGTGGTTGGGTCTGGAGAAAATGCTTGCAGTAGTTTGCAAGACGCACGAAGGTGTCAATGCCCTTGAAGCATACAACGAAGACGGTTTAGTAGATAAAAGTCTCGGCCTTCATGGATTTGCAGCTAACATTGGGAGGCCCTTGTCTGGCCGGTTTCTCGTTATCTGTCTCGAAGATATAAGGTTTACGTGCTTGACATCATCGTTATTCGGCATTTGTCGTTTTCTTTTCAATTATTATTTATTATTATTATTATTATTATTATTATTATTATTATTATTATTATTATTATTATTATTTTAATCTTCTCTCCCTCAATGACTTATATTTGCAATGTTCTTTTGTTCATGTATGCATGTCTAGACCATACACTGGCGAGTTCATAGCCGATGATCCTCAAAGGAGGCTTGCCCTTCAAGAGCCAAAATTACCGAATGGCGAAACTCCTCCTGGATTTCTAGGCTTTGCTGTGAACATGATCACCATCGATAACACCTGCTTGTACCATGTTTTGAACAATGGGCATGGCCTAAGAGAATCAGTGTTCTATAATCTTTTCTCAAATCTGCAAGTTTACAGATCAAGGGAGGAGATGCTAGAGGCTCTTGATTATGTGGGAAACGGAGCAATCTCTTTAGATGGAGGGATGATCAGACAACATGGAGTGCTTTCCTTGGGTCAGAATCTGTAAGCAGCTTGTCCCTTATTTCATAAATCAAAAATAATTATTTTCTCGAAAGATCTGAAGCTCTTTGACTGGCAAGATACCAACAGGTCTGTGCATTGCGGATTTGACTATTTGAGGGGGTTGATTATGTAAACAGCCCCACGATATTAGGTCAATAATGTTAAAGAGAACAAGAAAAGAAAGAAAAAAAATCTTTTACCTTTGGGCAGTGTGAATACACACCGTTTCATTTATGGAATGGATAGGGTTTTGCCATTTTGAGAGATGCTGGTATTTTTAGAAAGCATGTAAATGTTCGAGGTTGGTTTTGCATTATCTCTTCTAGTTTTCTTGTATCCTGATGTTGGACTTGAATTTTTGGGTTGAAGGGCAAACACAGGTGTGAAATTTCCAAATGGCTCTGGAAACTTGTCAAACCATGAGAGCTACTTTGAGATTGAACGAAAAATGAAAGAGACACAATGGAAAAAGGATCAAGCTTTGAGCGACATGCAGAGAGAGCAGATGCTATTGGACCATGCAAAGTTAAACCACGAGATGAAAAAGAAAGAGATTCTTCAGTTTCTTTCGCAAAGCTCGTTGCATTCGCCTCAGGTATCAGAACTGTTTTATGATTCTTAAGGGGGCCTAAAATTTTGTATTATGATATTGGTAGGTAGGCTGTTTTGCAGTTCTTAACATTGCTGCCGTGACTAAAAGATGCATTAAATTATCACCAAACTGGGAAATGAATTACGAGTTCTTATTGCCTCATCTATATGGTCGGAACTTGGACGCATTGTCTAAGGAAAGCTTTGACTGATTTAATATTATTTCCTTAACCTCAAAATTCAAAGGACAAAATTATGAATTGTTGGTGAAAATATAACGAAAAATATCTTCGTCTTTTAAGTCATGTAATTTGTGTTTAAAAGTGTTATTTCTTTTCATTCACAATACAGTTTCATAATAAAATTATGCAATTTAAGGTTTAGTTTAACTACAAAAGGAACTCTTTCATAATACGTATTACCATTCTCATAACATTTGTTTCTGTTTGCAATTGCAACCTTAATGGAGATTGCTAAGAAAATATAAATCTCTCTTATGGGAGTATTTATTTCTAATTTTAAAAGATAGTCGGTTTTCTTCCTTTTTCTCTACATTACCGAAGGAGAATATATAATTGCTTTCATGTTGTGCCTTCAGTCTCCAAAGGACAATGGATCGGACTCGGACATGGTTCTTAACTGAAGCAACACTTGTGAAGGAAAATGCAGTAAAGCCCCCTAACTCGCTGGCCGACTTCACCTTCTGTGTTTTGTTTTTAACCTTCGGCATGTAATGATCAACTGTACTAATCCGTATATTACTGAGTCTGTTGTGTTCGGCTGTAAATGCTTTAGTAAGTACTTAGCCTCTCAAGGTTTTCTTGTTTGTGAAACCTGTTGTTGGAATTGAAAAATCTGTATGACTTTTGGGCAAAATTTTTGTATCAGGCTCGATGTCATGATGTACTCTTGTTTCTAATGATACCAGTCCAAGTATTAATTACACGGCCTTGTGTTACTTATAAGTTATAACTAGTAATCGACAAATGCATAGATATAAATAAAGTATTGTGAAATATTGTGAGTTATTTGTATGCATATAATGATTAATTATTCTTCTTTCACTTTTTTGCATGCCAACATTTACAAATAAAGAAGTTGGAATATTTACTTTTTTTTTTTTAAATTGCGTTTATCTGATTGGATGTAATGTATATTTTGGTACGTTTTTTTTTTTTTAATTATTTATCATTTATTTAGGAATGTAACCACAATAATAACATCTAATCACATTGTACGATCAATACATTATATAGTTAACTGTCACTAATAAAAAGTTTAAAATGATTTTTGTATTTTTGAAGTAATTAGTATTGATTATTTAATAATTAAATAAAAGATTAAATACATAAAAAAGTAACAGTTTTTGGAGGGAAAAATATTAAATTGCCACATAGGTAAAATTAATTAGGTTTTATTAAATGCTATTGGCTAGTAATTATATATATATAGATTACATTTAGTTATTAGGTAATTGTCAATTACTCTTGAAGTTTTTTTCTTTTCGCTCTCACCAACCTAAAAGATAGTGAAAATTAACTTTAAGTAAAAGTTTATTTGAGACACTGAAAGTAGTGATTAAAAAAAANNNNAAAAAAAAAAAAAAAACACAAAAAACTGTTGAAGCAGAGAAAAACATAAAGACATGAATGAAAAAGGTTCCACCGAGATTTGAACTCGGGTTACTGGATTCAGAGTCCAATGTCCTAACCGCTAGACCATGGAACCACATGTTGAAATGCTTGACATTATTTTATATGACGTTATTTCTAGTGTATTTGATTCCTGCCAAATCTTTTTTTTTTTTTTTTTTTTTTTTTTTTTTTTT